ACCACTGCATTGCAGTGATTTTTGTAAAAAGTTACATACTGAGTTTGATGTTTTGTGTGTGTTTTCTTTGTAGTCCTCAGAAGAATATTTTCAGCAGTCCTCAGAAGGTGGGCACAAGTCCACAGTCAACCCCCACCAAGTCACCTGCTTATCAGCGTTTCGCAGCACTTGTGCTTCCTGCTCCTGCTGCCCTCTCACTTCCATTCAGCTATTGCTCCCTATCTGAGATTTTCCGCTGTGTTGATGCTGTAGCATCTATGCTGTACAAGCGCAAGGAAGTGATCACATTCAGGAAACTGAAACCTGCTGTTCAGGAGATGCTCAGGAGGTTAGTAAATGTGTGCCAGGTTTAATTCTGGTAACAAGTTTCTAGCAGATCAGCAGTTATACATACAATTTTAGAATTGGAACTAGAATTTGACATTAATCCAGTGAAAGCTAATTTGTTTATGTGAACTCAGGAAGTGTTTGTTTCAAATGCTGATATATATATATGTGTGTGTGTTCTTCGAAGCATCTGGACTTGTTGGTTTAGCAGATGAGACACATAGCTTGTGTGTCAGGAGTCTTGTGTTTGAGACTGGCTGTGTAAAGCACAGAATTTTGTGTATGCTTTTCTGTTTCTTTGCCTCATGCTTTGTGGGCGGGAATAGCAGTGCTCCATGTAGGTTGGATCTCACATTAAATCACATCACCTCTGCTGGACATTGTCCTACTATATGAAGCATTGATAGCCACAGTGTTGCTTATGTGGGTGGAGACCAGGAAGATTGAAAAGTTTCATAACTTGAAGCATGAGCTGAATCTTTAAAGAAACACCAGTAATTAAGATATGTTCTTTCACTTGAAGCAGAAACAGAAATTTAGGAAGACTGAGAACATAACTTTGTTTCAGAAATTTCACAGAACATCACATGGCTCAAATAAAAAGAGTTTATCCACTAGCTTATGTCTTTCATCAGGAGAAGTATAGGAATTTTGGATCAACATCTAAGATGGATAAGTATGAGCTCACATTAACACCTCTGCTTCATTCTAATGTTGAAGGTAAGTTAATTGAATCTTAGTTTATTTAATGGTATTTGTTTAAACTGCAGTGGTTATATGATGTTGAATGAGGTAGCTAAAGTGTTCATAAATAGCGAATAGTAAGTTGATTGAATCTTAGGTTATTAATGTTGAATGATATGGTAATATAGGTGGTGATTTGTAAGAATGTGGGAAGGAATGGTTGTAACCTATTTTAAAATACTATACTGGTATTCACCCAAAGAGACTGAGGACAGAAGTCTGTAGATTTAAAGTTTTGGGAATTATAGACAAAGAAATATCTGTATACTGGTGGTGGTGGTAGAGTGTGATGACCCACTTATTATGAAATTTAAAAAATAAAAAAAAGGAAGAAGTAACATATGGAGTGAGAGAAATATGAAGAAAGAATAAGGTGATTTTCAATATAAGAAGCAGATTTTGTGTTTCTTGTTATCAGTGTAGTATAATCAATTTTCAGATTATATTTGCAAAATTGAAATTTAGAAAAGTGCCAAATTTTCAAGCAGATTTTATGCTATGCTATGTAACATCACAGATCAAAGTAGACTGGAGTGGCGTATATATTGTAAAGGAAAATTCCGAAGATTGGGAACAATATTTTCATGCATTTTACAGACTTTTCATAAGTTCACAGATGAAAGGGAACTCATGCCTTCCTTTGTCATGCTTGGTTAAATGTTGCAGGCAGTGAGACCCGCACAGACCCTGTCAAGTTTACATCAGATTTTTTGCTGGAACGAAGACGGATTTTCCAAGAAAACCTTTTGGAAAAAGTAAAGGATTACCATGAGGTAAGAGGATATGCTGGGAATAATTGGGGAAACAAGGAACACACACAGAATTTTGGTATGCAAGCCTCTTATGAAATAACCCCCTTGAAGACCAAGAATATTTTGATTTAGGTAAGTAGATTGTGAAGATAAGAACTGTTTTACGCTAGTGATCTGACCTTTGTCTTTTGTTACTGATAAGTTGAGAGAGTTTGGTATTTATAGCTTTTATCATTATCCATTGTGAATTCTACCAGCTCTGGGGCCCTCCTAGTCTTCTGGCCAATATCCATTGGGGTTCTTTCCTCAGGAGTAAAGTTGCCAGGCCATAAAGCTCCACTCATTTCCATCTAGTGCCAGTCTTAAGAGAAGTTTGCTGATATGCCTCTACCACCCTTCCATATATCTGCTTGGTATTGTGCTTAGTTAAGCATGAAGGACAACTTTTTAATAATAATAACAAGCATTGACTTTTTCTTTTTTCTTCTCAGGATTTCCTGCAGAGCTTGGACCCACCATTAACGATTCCTCGGAACCAGCTAACTCGATGGCATCCGGAATTTGATGTTGACCAAGTTCCAGACATTGAACCTGATACACTTCCTGAAGCTCCAAATGCTGAGAAATATTATACTGCTAAAGATGTACTTGGTAGGTTGTGAGACAAGAAACTTGCCTAATTATTCACCTGACAACGTACCATATTTACCTAAATATATCCTCAAACACTACATTTATAGGAAGTGAATTTCAAGGACCTGTTTTGTTCCCAGGACAAAATTTTCTTCCAGATGATAGTTTCAAGAAGTGTAAATGGTGCTTTTAACGTATTGCAATTTTGTTTTTGCAGAGAAGGCCAAGAATATTTTCTCCTGTAATCTGCGGATGGAGAAGGCATTGCAGACGGTGAGTGAGGAATCCAGTCGATTAGAGGTACCAAGCACTCCAACAAAATCACTAAACACAATGTCTGGTGCTGCAACATCACCCATTTCAACAATGCTGAAAGGCATTCCTAAGGCTCTTCTGGAGAAGGTCTGTATATTTCAGAATGTTTCATGCATTATGCTGAGTTCATAACAGGCTCATCTGTTCAGTACAGGATATTTTATTTACATATTTTTTAAAAATCTCTAGATAAAATTACAGTGAAACCTCTATCCATCGTTTTCCCGGATGCATCGTCCTTCACTGAGAAGAAAAGATTAATGTCAGTGGAAATGCATCTCATGAAAGTAAAATCATTCTGCACCCTTTCCAGCCATTAAGATTTAATTAAAGAACTAGAAATTATTTATTACAATTCCAGTGTAATCTAGGCTTGTAAGTTGAAGTGTCCTTATGAGCATTTTCTTTTTGATGTATTAGATACGGGCAAAACAGGCAGCTAAGGCTTTGCAGGCCATGACACGCTCACCAGCACAAGATCGTGTGGCAATTCAGTATATGCGCCTCCCAGAGTTAGCACGTATCTTGAGGAATCTCTATGTGACTGAAAAGAAAAGTATTCTTCCCCTGGATGTCACGCTTGAAAAATTGGCCAACAGTTACAGGGAGAAACTGCCAAGAGGTAAAGTGGAAACAATTCCAACCTGTGTACTAGGACACATTAGAGTTGTGGAGGTAAAGCTCCATGTATTCTATCTAGGCTGTAAGTTGTTTTTAGACTGTTTGGTGGTCATGAAAGGTTTCATGTGGTTTACTGAGAAACTAAGGCATAGTTGCAAATTTTCTATTATTTTTATAATGGTGTGGGTGTTGGTGCTATATTCATGGTATTAAAGTAATTTGTGTATATGTGTTCTGTTCCAATTATGTAATTACTCTAACCTCCTTTTCTGTTATAGGGAGAATTGTGACACTGTAAAGTTTTAGTTGCCCAGGGATAGGCTGGGTCAGTTGGGTATCTGGAAGGAGAGAAATTGGTGTTAAAGGAGAAATTTTTATAAAGAATTGAGGTGGGAGGGACTTCATGATCTGTGTTTGGGTGAGGAGTTTGTGGAATTATTAAATTTGGTAACAGCTGTGGTACATGTTTCAATTTGTAAGACTTGAGGTTCTCACAGCGGTGAGTATGAAGATTTCCGTCTTCTGGGTTGTTGCGCTGTGTAGTCTGGTCGATATTAACCAACGTTTCAGAGGTCATACTGCCCTGATGATGGAGGCAGTATGACCTCTGAAACGTTGGTTAATATCGACCAGACTACACAGCGCAACAACCCAGAAGACGGAAATCTTCATGGTTCAATTTGTCCTCTTGCATTGTCATTTCAATTCACTGTATCCTGATGCTGAATAGTTAAATTAAATGCAGTGCTACATTTTAGTCTGTTTTTGTATGATAGAAGCAATTAATTTTATTGCATTATATTTTTTAGTTGTGTTTCTTATGTAGGTGTGTGCCTGTTAATTAGAGATAGATTTGTATCCTGGAAGTCATTCTTTTTATTCTGAAACTGCACTGTTTTTGGTGGGAAAGAATTAGTGTGAGCTAGGGAACCTGTCAATAAGGTGTATGGAAGGGCACAAATGCATTTATGTCAGGATTAAACTGATAGTGAACAGATTGTAGGTGACAGGGGTATACTAGCTGCTGATACAAAATGTCTGATGGGATTATAGGTGCTGACACTCCAATATGAAAAAGATTGAAATATGGGGTGCCAATATACAGATGTGACAAGAAAGGGAACACTAGGCATCATTACTCCTTTATTACAAAGAGGTTACTAGGTGTCAGTTACAAAGGGATGGTTGCTGGTACTCACATGTGTTTATTTGTAGGAAATTCATGTAGCTTATTTTTTCAATTCAGTTAGGTTTTTCTCTGCATGTAAAAAGCCCAATACTGATTCTGTTACTTTGAGTTTTATTCCAAGGACATGTTACGGACCAACACATTCCATCAATAGAATGAGAAGGATTCAAATTAATTAGATATTGGCTATTTTTGTAGTGGAATTGGAAGAGCATATTCACCTTCTCAGACACAGTGTTCCTGGTTGGCTGGAAATTCACTACATAAGGAAGACAAATTACTTGAAATTGTCAAAAAATGCTGACATGGGACCAGTGATCAGGAAACTAGAAGCTCTGGCAGCAGAGAAGAATGATGGATGAATATGATTTAAAGTGAGTGCCACAATGCTATTTGTATTAAGACATGAATATTTAATCTGTATTTGAAATAAAACTGCAAAGCATGCCTTCAGTTTTTGAAAGAATTTATGTTCAAGACTAAGTTGTCAGATGAAAAAGTTACTATGATCAGATAATACACTGACTCCTCCTCTTACGAAAGGAATACGTTCCTTTAGAGTTATTTATTAAGCAAACTTTCATTAAATAAGATGAATTTCTTTTGAATCTTATTAGAGATATTGTGACCTGTAGTAATACATATGCATTTAAATGACAGGAAAGGAAATTAAATGCACCATATGTGAACTATACTAATTAAACATACAGTGTATTTTCATGCATTTTTTCAAATGCATTAATGCAGAGATTTGTTAATTACACAGTTATACCACAAAGATTAGTACGTATTTAATCCTTTCACTGCCACATTTTTTCATGTACCAAGTCATGCAAGCCATTTACTCTTCCACTTGCTGATAGCAACATTTCAGGTGTTCCATTTGGTAGAATTATCTTGATTTCAGCAGAAAAATACAATTTTTTCAGCTTATGGTGAAATCCCAATTTTAGGTTTCTCTGGAGGGACAGTGGCTTTGAACACTAAACAAGAAACTCACTCATGGGGAAATTTTAACATTGAACTAATTGATGTAGTTTGATTTTGTTATCCATTCACACTTTATCACAATTACCTTTTTCTTCCCACATATGGAATGTCAATGAAAGGAAGTAATTAACTAAAATTTAAGAAATTTTAGTCAATTATTTCCTTTCCTTCCAAGGGTTCCATCATATATTTTGTTAATCTGGTGCTGGAATTCAATTGTTTAGAAGGCATATGTGGTTGGTATTTTATTTATATTCCAGTTTACATTATTTTGCTGCAACATCATTAACAAATACTGAAATAACTTCATTTCAATCTTATGTGAAATAAAATCAGTATGAACAAGAAGTTAAGCCAAGAGCTGAGTGATTTCCATTTTATATAATTTCAGTATATGCTGTCATTTTTTGGAATGTATTGTCAATATAAATCATAGACTACCTATAATATGAATATTCAGGATTACATGAAGAACAGAGTTGAATAAATTAAAAAGTACTGCAAGCGGGAACAGAATGGCTTGTGACATTATCAATCATTCTACCACTTTTTGAATCTGAAAGCACAATTTTGTAGGTGAAGATTTTATTAATTTTTTATTACACCATAACACCCTTGCATTAATGCTAATGTTGGTCTAAGGTTAGAAAATGTCATGTTATTTATACCAGAAGAATACACCAGTGGGGGTTGTAAAGAAGAAAAGTTAATTTAATGTTTCATATATCGTTTGTACTGAGATCATGAATGTTGATTAATATTCAGTGTATGTGACTTGGATATCCATCAGTAAAATGAATGATAAATGGCTGGGGTTTATTTCCTAGCAAGGACAAGGTTTTTTCTCTTTGCCACCACGTCCAGCCTACTCTGAGGTTGACTAGTGCTTCCTATCCATTGAATACAGGGGGCCATTTTCCTTGGGGAAAAGCAGCTGGGTCATGAAGCTCCATTGAAGTGCCAAGCAACAAAATTTTATCTACATTTCTCCTCAATGACATCATATTTGGGTACAGCGAGAACGTTTACTCAGTGTGTGACATAAAGTTTGAAGACAGTATGTCTCTCAGTTTATGGTACCACAGCATAGTACGTGAGTGAACATCTTAATAGTTTTATGAGGTGATTCTAGTTAAGTTTTATTTTAATACTTTCACTGTTAGCAAAGAAAAATGCCATTGTGTTGCCTGTTATCACCCAGTTGAATTTGGACACAGTAAATGCTATGTTCCATGCCTGAACATAAACACATTGGTATTTCATTCCACATTAAAAAAAAGAAAAGAACTGATAAAAACCTGAGGGACATGATTTACTGTATGATTTATGAAAATTGTTCATCCTGGAAGGTATTACTATGACTCATTTGATAGTGAAATATGGGTAGGGTGTGTGTGAAGTTAATTGGAAACAAAAGGCAACTTAGTTTTTAATTTAAACTATGTATTTACTAATTCAGTTTACGGTTTTCTTTGGTGCATTGACTTGTCTATCACATACACATCTTTGCCTGATCACATGGTGTTAGTAATGACAGATAGCCACAGTATTTTCAGTGATCCATGCTGTTACATTGTTTTTATGCTTGTTCCATCAATCCTCCCACTGGCTTCAGATTTGATGTCTGTTGCTGTCTATTTCAGTCTTTGACAACAAAATTTTTTGTTCATGTTCTTGATATGCTTGAATTAATTGCATGAAGTATACAGGAAATTATATTTTTCATAATTTTACAGCTAAGGTGAGGGTGAATGAATTATGCTGCAAGATACAGTATTATGTCTGTACCTTTAAACCTCAGTTTGTGGCCAAGATTAATTTCTTACATATGTGTGCTGGCCATAGAATTACTCGGAATAAAAGAGAATGTTAAAGATGCTGTTGATGACTCAACTTTGCGATGCGAGTATAAGGAGTGTGAGTTAGGCTCAGTTCCCCTACACTTTTCTGTTTCCCTAGTTTCTTTGGTTACAAAGATGAGTCTCAGAATAGTATGTTTGGCAGAATGGTTTCATCCTTAACACAGCATGCTGTACAATTTGGTGCAACTATTCTGTCCATAATAGTGAAAGGGTTGCAGAAAATTGAGTATGATTTGAAGCTTTTGTAGCGACTGAGTATAATGAATTCTTCTCAGGCTACCAGCCGTGGAAGGTGGTTTAATGGAGAAAACACCATTAAATCACCTTACATGACTGGTAGCCTGAGAAGAAGTCATTATAGAAAATTGAGGACTCAAAGGGTGGTGATTGTTGTAATAAAATAGGATTGTATTTCTTTTATTCTGATTCCCAAGAAGCTCTGCAGAGTTTTAAACATAAACCCAAGTTTACATGTGATATTTTATAACTGTAATTGTTACTGAATTTATGTGGGAAGGAAGACTGCAGTTTTATTTCATGTGTGATATTTACTATTGTGTTTATTGTGCACAGAAACTTGTCATTTGATACATGTTATGAAGCATTTTTTATTAATGATAAACTAGAGGAATAAAGATTTTTCAAGTACATAAGAATTATTAGCACATAATCTAGAAGCCATGTCCCCATTTTAACTTTCCTTGATTAATATTTATTTCCAATTTTCTGTCCTTTGTTTTATATATGTGTGTCTACTAAAATTATGCAATAATACAAAAAGGAAACAACTGAAGTATGTCATCACATTGCTGCCATATATGCAGCTGTCTCAAGGTGAATAGCAACATGTTTTCATAATAATCTTATTTCTCTGCAATTTTCTTCATTTTTAAGGTTTACATGCGTCATGTTTGTGTTTTGGATTAAAATATATAATAAGATACAGGTCAATACACAAAACTATATTTGGTTGTTAAAATTTAAAATTTTAAATTAGCGCTATTCATCACTATAAGGATGTTACATTTGCGCGCTTTCATTCATTTCACAACATGTTTCGATGTAATACATCATCTTCAGGTGTTGTTTTTTTATTTAAAACTATTTTATATTATAATGCATGCCTTTCAATAATTTATTATTGTATTATGTGTTTCGCTGGTCTTCTCGTTTTTCCCATCTTATGTTTGTTTTGAATTATGCTGTAAACAAATGTGATAAAAATTTGGGAGTTATTCATTTTATATGCAAATAAGTTTGGAATATGAATTATATTGTAATAGTAAGAACTCAATAACATACCATAGGACGTGTTGTGTGGTGTATCACGTCTGCTCGGGTTGACTGTCTGTTCATGGACTGGACGCACATTTAAACAAAGGCACAAAGAACATATAACAGCTATCAAACAGAATAAGGATCACTCCGCCTACGCAAAACACATATTAAACACAGGACACACACATGGGGCAATAGAACAAACTTTAGATATTATAAAAATAGTACAAAATAAACGCCATAGGGAAACCATTGAAAAATACCATATACAACGGACACATAAACAAAATATTGCTTTAAACGACACTAACCTATATTTGAACAACCCGATTTTTAACACAGTACAAATCATTGACCCAAGCACATGACCCCATCTACCTATATATACCACCCGCTCCTATACACGAAACCAGTACTTGAACAGACAGTCAACCCTGCAGACGTGATAAACCACACAACACGACTTATGGTATGTTATTGAGTTCTTACTATTACAATATAATTCATATTCCAAACTTATTTGCATATATAAAAATAAAAATAAAAATGAATAACTCCCATTTTATCACATTTGTTTACAGCATAATTCAAAACAAACATAAGATGGGAAAAACGAGAAGACCAGCGAAACACATAATACAATAATAAATTATTGAAAGGCATGCATTATAATATAAAATAGTTTTAAATAAAAAAAACAACACCTGAAGATGATGTATTACATCGAAACATGTTGTGAAATGAATGAAAGCGCGCAAATGTAACATCCTTATAGTGATGAATAGCGCTAATTTAAAATTTTAAATTTTAACATTTAAATTTTAAATTTTAACAACCAAATATAGTTTTGTGTATTGACCTGTATCTTATTATATATTTTAATTTTCTTCATGTCACAGCAAAACTAAGCAGTAAACATGTTTTAAATGAAAGCTGTAGAACTTAATGAGATGTGTATATTTTATGTCTGTAAAACAAGCTTTTTTATTTGTATTTATTCAATAAGAGTTTAGTTTGAGGTATATGTGAAATAGGGCTAATGTGAACCACCGTGGACCACACTTAAGTGAACAATTCAATTTATAGTGTATATCCAAGAATACAAAATTTATTCAATAGCTGTTATGTGGTTTAGGGAGATGAAACATGGAGGTACCCAACTTTCTCATTGTGTTCATTTTATGCACTAAAACAAAGAATGCTTAGAATTTGCATTCCTGTTGCTTTAATTATTAATGTTATATTCTGTAGCACCTCCAGTTTTCTTACTTTAATGTATATGTACACATGGCATAGTTTTATTCACAAAGATTTAGAAATGCTTCCTAGTGGCACAGCAGTTATGTCATTAGAACTTCATAAGTTGGAATGAAATGTAAAATTGTTACTTCACAAAAATCTGTGTATGTGTATATTTTGCAAGGTGCTGGTTATTTAAACTGGCAGAGATGTGTTGATATGTTATAAAGATACCCTTGTGTGCTGATCCTCCTGTCTTGCCTACCATGTCCTACATACTCATGTCTGGTTGTCTGCAGCAATGTGCATGTGCTGTTCAGTTGACTTCATAGATAAAAGCTCTTAAGGAGTGCACAAGTTGTATATGGAAAAGATGCCCAAGAAATTGTTCTAACAGCTTTCTATAGTAAGTACACATTTTTACCATTTCTTTTATTGTCTGTGACTTATCAAAACTAATCTCTTAAGTTCACTTCACCACCACCACAATTGTCAAGCAATTAAGAAATTATATTCAGGACATACCCAACTTGAATCTTGACTACATTACTTGTTATCCAGACTCAGATTTTACATGATTTTCCTGTCTGTCGAGGTACAATAGGTAGATCTATTTGGAAGAACTTTCTCAAAGTACGGTTAGCCACAGTCATAGATGCTTGCACAAATAAGAGTTTCTTCCTGATAGGGTTGAACTTTAGATTTTTACACTCCACCCTACCAAGACAACTAAATTTGTTAGAACCTTTATTTTCACTGGAAACAATGTAAATCATGGGGAATGCAAATCCTGTGGCCCTAGTGATGTCAGCTATAACAGCTTCTGTTCATCAATGATGTCATCTCCTGTATGATAAATGCATGTGATGCATTAATGTATTGTGTCTAAAACAATTCTTTTGTCATGCTGTGTAGTATCCTGATGACAGGAAATGCTATTTTTACATGCAATGATTACTGTAGCATCAGGTACAATCTTTGTGGTGGACCAGATACAAAACTTAAGTTGCTGCTGACAGTCTGAAGTGTGTGTCTTAAAATATGGTGCTGCTGCCACATCATGCGATGTCAAACAGTTGAAGTTAGTATAAAGCACCTCTGAAAGATGATGGAAAAAGCATATCTGATGACAATTTAAGGTTATCTTTTGTCCCATACTGCATTGGTGATCGAAAATAAAGTATAGGGACACAATGGAAGAGGTATTTTCTCTCATGCATATTTATTTAAAAAATAACTGCATATTTGCACATATAAGACAATGTTTAATACTCTGAAGCCAAAACTAATCTTCATGTTTACACATTCATTCCATACTTAAAAGAAAACACTGACATAACCATTACAAGGGCTGGTTACTTGATGTTTAAAGACGTGATAAGTTTATTCTAAGAATCACTTGAAAGTGATGTACTTTGTGGGCAAAATGCAGAATTATTGATTGTTAAAGTATGTGGTATATATAGTTACCACCAGGCACAAAGAACTGAAAACATTTTAAAATGAAAATGATTTTATTTCCAACATATGTAAAATAACATAATCTCAAATGTCTACCACAGCTACAAAAGTATGCCTATAAGACATGCTGGAGTATTACTTACAGAAACTGATCTTAGCGTAATTTATTTGTTTTATTTATGGTAAATAATTTCAGTCTATTTAAATTACATTTAAATATTTTATTTTTATGAATAATCCTTAAAGTCTGGAAAGTCATGCAAGGTTGATAAAGGCAAGAGAAAGTATGTGACACTGACTCTCACGTGTTTCTAATAAGGAAAAACCTCATACACATGTCATTCGTGATCTGGGTTGTGATGTGTCATGGCGTCACAGCCCAGAAGACCACAACTGACATTAACTGCTGTGAGAATCTTAAATCTCGGTTTGTAAACACATGTACTTATTACAAAAATTCATAATTTCATACATCTGTATATGTATTACTCACTTGCAAAAAGGTTAAGTAACAGTGATGTGATGCCAAACTTAGCTTACAGGGCTCTTGTTATTATGGTGATGAACCTTCAAGTTTTGTGACAAGAAGGAATTTACTGATGACTTGAATATCTGTCAACAGCCCAAGAAAGACCTTGTTAAACCTGTATGAGGTTCTCATGGCAGTGATGTCAGTTTTGTGACATAATAAAGTTCTTTTGGGCTACCAGCTGTGTCAGTTTCCTGGTGTCTACCTACAAGTCCACGTGGAAGACCAACATGAACATCTATAATATGTAGTCTGTTAGATTCTACACATAAATTCTTCAGATGTAGCCTATACTTTGCATAGCAAAACCCTGCATGTGGAGTTTATCATATTTTCCCCACTGAAGTCACAGACCTAAAATGAAGGATATTACTGAGGTAATGTGGGGTAGGGTCACAAAATTCTAACCATCCTCAACAAGTGTTGGCTGTATACAGAAGTCAGAAACATTATGAAAATGTGTATTTGATCAATACATGGAATGCATTATCCTGATTTAGTTTTCAGTAATTTCTCAACTGTCAAATTATATGCCAGGAGAACCTACTTTTTTCAGTTCTCAACTGAGGTCTTGTAACATATATTAAAAAACAATTTTGACTTGTATTTTAATAAAAGCTTCTGAAAATTAATGGTGTGATTTTACAAACATAACATTGGACACATAGTCTGAAGCCAAATCACCTCCAATCCCTTCATTACCTGAGCAAAATGTCTTGTCTTAAGCCATGATTCTCACTGCTACACTTAGTCATTGGGGAGGTGGGGGTTAACATCAAATAAACATAATTAAATAATTTCCTCAGTTTATAATGAACTGTGACGGTTCAGTAAAGTGATTGGCTATAGGCTCGGCAACTGGGGTTCAGTTTCTGGTACAGACATTCTTTTGGACCTGTCCAACCTCCTATCCAGTCACAACCAAGAGCTCTCTCCCTGGAGTAAAGCAATGGCAGGTTCGATCTGATCACTCACCTCCATGTAGCATTCAGATCTTCACTTCCATGATGTACAACTCAGGAACAGGAGTGACTTTTACTTATATTAATTGTATATGGACTTCATATACCATGCTGTTTACTGTATTATGTCTGTATATGCATTCAGGCACTGCATAACATATTTTAATGATCACTAGGGACAGTATTACTGCATATACCATCTGACATGCACAGTTATAACAAGCAAGCATCAGTCCTTGCATTGTTACCTTTATATTTTATTTATCTTTTTCTAACTAGGTATCATGAAAAAAACAATTCTTTGGTAGCATATACTCTAATCTAATGACAACATTGTATATAAATCTCAGTGGTTATTTACAAATAAAATGCTTATTAAAAAATAAATAAAAGAAACTTGCAATAAAAATCATTCCACTGTTTTCTAATTAATTTGTCTAGGATTTCATACAAGAACTTCATTTGCTAGGGTCTGTTCCATTTCAGTGAGTGTTGCATACAGACGATGTCTGATGTCTTCTGGAACAGCAGCCCTTGGACTGTTGAAGTCTGTGTCTGGATTTGCACAAAGACGGAGCAGGGCTGCCAGGGATGATGGTGTGTGCTGTGACATAAGCAGTCCTGGTACAATCACTGTTCCTGATAGAGTCCAGCCCAGAAAGATCTTCTCACACACCACCTGCATAAAAGAATGTGCATTAACAGTCTGAAGTTCTGAATTTTGTCTGTTTGCTTTATAAGAGTGGGAAACATGAAGGAAGAATAGAGATTGAAGGTGTTTGAGAAATAAATGCTGAGAATAGAATACTGGGACCTAAGTGAAAAGTAAAAACATACAGTCAATAATATTTAATATGGAGCATCACAATTTCTATTCTTCACTTAACACTGTTATTGTGAATAAATGAAGGAAATGATGAATAGATAACCAGGAGTGCATAGACATTTTTGATGAAAAACCTGCTTGAGAAGACATCAGTATGGATCTTAGTGAGGATGTGGATTCAAATGAACCAGCTCAGTATAGGCTCCAATGGCTGGCTTTTGTAATCAATATGATAAAGTATTTCCATGAGGCTACAGCATGCAGTTAGTTGATTTTCTTTGGTTAGTTAATAGTTAATTTTTTGCAATTACAAATTTAAAAACATTGCTGGTATAACATTTGTGTTTTCATTCCTTCTCTGTCCTTTTCAGCAATCCCTACCTCATTATTTACATCACAACTTGTTTTCTCACTCTGAAAAACAGGGGTAATAATGCTTTTTAAAATGTATTAAAAGCAAAAGATTAAAATGGGTTTAGAGCAACTTCTGTAACTGGTTCATAAGGAGACAGATGTCAAGTATTTGTAAATTTATCTGGAAGGCAAAGAAGGATGAGACAAAACAAGGGAGGTTACTGGTAATTTAAAGAGCAATAAAAGGAATTTGAAGGAGACTAGAATGATCAACAGTTATAGAACACAAAGAAGAAGAAGTCTTTAATTGGAAAAATTCCAACTAAAACAATTTTATTTATTTTACCTGGCATCACACTTTTATGTAGACCTAGGTATACTGAGAATGGTTTAACAAGGCTTGTTTAGTCCCATTGTGAATGCTGTTTAAGTGACTGTCTCTTACCTGGAAATTGTCATTTGTAACTGGTGAATCACAGCGAGAAGAAACAGCATTGCACTTAGAACGACAGTCAAAGAAGTCACAGTCTTCATGTTGGGTACAATGACTATTATCAGCAGTCATATGTCCAACAACTGTTCGTGGCAGGACAGAATCAAGGTCAAGAAATTTTAAACGCTGCCCACCCTTCGTAACACCAAAGTGGCTCATCTTGATATCACATAAATGGAAAGGTTCAGCAAGGTTTGTCTCTAACTCGTCCAGTAGGTCCATCATAAGAACTGCAAGCTTGAGCCTCATGGCCCATTCCTCATGGCCTTCCCCCATTGACATCACACCAGAAGACATCTCTACAGGGTCTACATACTCAACAGCAAAAAATGGGCCACAAGTACCAAGCAGCTGTGGGAAGATATCTCTGTCTGCATACAGAATGGAGCACAAATATTCATTATCTTGAATCAGAAACCATAAATTCTGCATCTCAATGTGTCGCATCAGTGACTTCTCCTTTGCTCTTGAGAAACCAAGACGGCTTAATCTACTCAGCTGGTTATTGGAAATAGTAAGGTTCAATTTTGATATCACAACATTACGAACCATTGTATCAAACTCATCCTCTGTTGGATACTGTCTAGCCCCATCACTGTCAAGCCAATAAACAGGGTCCATGTTTTCACCACTGGCTTTTCTTGAGGCTTTGAATACCATTCGAGTGCCTTCCCACTTTGCAGAGAAGACAGCTTCCTTGCCAGCATGAAATGCATGACAAGTCAAAGAATGAATCTGCTTGTCAACACACAGTGGTTTGCAGAGACTGCCAATAGCTTCACCCCTCCTGTGGAGCCGGCACTGCAACAAGGATATGTGAAACTTGGTTTATTAATCATGTGGTCATTGTTGTTTCTTGGCTTTACAACCCAGTTGTGGGTTTTTGCCGCTGCCTCCTCTTTTTCAGAGGTTTCTTGTCTTGAAGTGTGCATTTAATCATGAGGTCATTACTGGAGGATTTGAGGTTCTCATGGCAGTGAGTATGAAGATGGCTGTCATCTGGGTTGTAATCTTTACATTATCCTGACACACATATTAAAAAATGTCTCAAGGAGGGTTTTCGTGTGTTTATTAGGGTGGTGAACTTTTGTAACAAGTTTCAGATCGAGCGACTTCTTTCCCACATTAAGGCTTGATCCATCATGCCCCATATGTCAGCCATAATGCATAAGCCTTATTATAATATTCCAACCTCAAATCCTACATGATGTGACTTGACTGACCATTACGGACCAGTGTGAACTAAAACGATGTTATGGAACTTCGCATCGTGGGGGCTTTTTGGCATAATCTGCGCTTTAAATATTAACACATTTAACTGTGTAATGCTAACCCTAAGAGGAAAGTTATTCCAGCAGGGCGTTATTTGATTTGGATTCTAGAACTGTTATAATAACTAGACTAAAATACTTACCAGATGACTGACGTGTTGCCAAGTCTCCAGGTTAGTACACATAATGCCCCAGTGTATAAGGTAGTATATGATCGTTAGTAAGAATATTATTAAAGTTGCTGTCACATACCGCCGTTTGTAAAGAATGCCTGGTATTCTTCTCAGATGCAGCATTATTTTAGGTTCTTAAAAATGTCAGCCATAATACTGTCAGCAGCTGTTAAAGCAATCTCAATACAAATAAAATGTTTTGGAATAATCTAATGTGTATATAACAATCGTCTTCTGGCTGCCATTATCATAAATAATTAGTGAACTGTATTCAGACATAAAATGGCGAACGTATTGATGTGTGTCTCAACCGTTACATTAAATTCCGACGTAAGAATAGAATATAAGGATGAAGTGATATATACAAATTTCTGAAGCTGTGTAGGATTTGAGTCCTATGATTTGCTGCAGTTGATTTATGCATTGGCGGTAAAAGCAATCACAGTCATGGCTTGAAATTGGGGTTCTGGTATCCCTTATACAGAGTATTAGAATAATATTTAAGTCGTAATTGAGTTTTTTGACGTAAATACGTCTATACGGAAGGGCCATTCAGCAAAAACAGCGTTACGAAGATGTGTCTTTTGTTTATTCGGAATTGTTGTGTTTCATTACTGCTGTCAACAATCCGCTTTCGTTATTGCGGAAAGAGCTGAGCTGTGAATCGCTTGTAGAAGAAATGCGTCGTAGATAATATTGTGCTGTTAAAAACGTTTTAGAATATCACAAGTACTTATCTTAAGAATTTTTAAGAAATCTGTGATACTGCCCTCCACTCTCTCCATTTTAGTTTTGATTAAATTGATCATTGCCGGTGGACATCCTGGTGTCTTACAAAGTGAACAAAGTTTGAGGTAAGGGATTCCTATTCATTATTAATGTTCATCACATTTAATGTTTTCATCTGCATTTGTGAACTCGTGTAAGAGAATTAGGCTTGTCTTCTTTTGACGTAAATACGTCTATACGGAAGGGTCATTCGGCAAAAACAACGTTTATACATTTATTGTAATTTTAATGTACCAATGTGTACAATTTCCAATGCATCTGGAGCGCCCGCCTCCCGAAAACCGTAACAGATGGATCGGGACATATTGCACACGAAATACGTATTACCTCTTGAGCTTTCCATATCTGTTTTCAGATTTTACAAACCACAAATGGTTTAGGTTCTACTAACATTTATTTATACAAATAAAGGCGCATCGCACTACACGCTACTGCTACGTTTGTGTTGCATCATACTATGCAGAGTAACAAGATGGATGACATTAAAGCTCAAAGAGTCCGATGATGATAATTTAAAAACAAAGACGTATTTACGTCAGATTCTCCAGAACCGTGGTTCCACTGTCAATTTTTTATATCACGATAACATGGTTAAACATGCATGACCTGAATGGAAAGGGAACTTGAAACTCTAGTTTTGCCCACGCTTTAAGACACATAAAAATTAGTGGAATTTATTCTGTTTGCCGGTTTGATTAGAATGTTCAGTTGAAGAATGATGGGGAGGCGGATGAGATATGCAGAGCGCATGCTTTGGTTTTGTTGAACTTTACGGGATAATAATATCAGGTTTCAAAGTCTTCATTTTGACAGTCTTGTGTCTCGTTCCACGAAAATCGAATTCGATGATTGCGATTTGACTGCCACACTGCATTTAGTTCTCTATTTCTCCATGGCGCTGAGAGTAGTGTTACGCAAAATTGTCGTCTGCTGGTTACGCCCACATTACGCCGACACTTATACTTGTTTATGAGATTGTCAAACAAGTCTGAAGATGCAGAGTGACAGGTTAGTTATGCCACTAATCAATATTGACACAATCGCAACGGTGAAGCTATGAATGACTGCAAAGGGCATATAAGTTCCAAACTGAATACTGTTTGGTCGTCTTTGCATTCTCCCGCACAGCGGCGGGTCTGTCGTGTGATCGACCTTGATTCGTCCTTGTGAATACGACACGGCGGGACCCTCGGACGTATCAAAGGGAGGAACATCTCTCGACTCGAAGTGGGGAATATACACGACTTTGTCTCCGTACCGCTTTTCCTCCGGGTTCGTTTACCGGAGGTCAAGTTCAACCAAGATAACAGCAGGCCACCAAACTGTCAGGTTAGTGTTGTCATTCATTTAGAGGTGTTTGAAAGGTCATGGGGTTAGAACGTGATGGCAGGAATGAAGTGCTTAGGTACATATCTTGAAATGTTTCGTCTAAACTGTGTTTGTGTGCGGTGGCGGCATAAATTAAACACACGCCGTTATCTTCATCCAGAAGCAACGTATAGATTCGTGTTGGTGGGTGTTCTGAGAAATGTTTTGACAAAAACTGTGTTTACTTTTTACACATATTCACAAATTAATTGTGCTGTTGAGTTAAATATTGGTTGACTAACCACATTTTGTCAGCAAAAATACCTTTTAAAATTGTTACTTTACTATCGACGCTTTCTGTATTGGATATGTTAATTGGCTTCGAACGGTAGGATAATTATAAATTTCTTTGACAAGTGAGCGACTTTTAACGTCTCAGGAAGACCTTTATTGTGTAATTCTGAGATGTTTTATCAACTGACAAGATGATGTAATGTGGAATGAGAGATGATAGGGTGACTGCGAATGGTGAGCTGAGAAAACATGGTCTTCTTTAAGGTACAACGAAACACGTCATTTAACGATTAACTGTCCTCGGTTGGCATTCGCAAATGCGAATCAGACTCGTTCTAACTGTGACAACGGTTTCGGCAGTATTTGTTCTGACTTTTTCTAATTTTACTCAATCGCTCCAGACAAATGCCGGAATAGTATCTTAAAACACGCATCTGATGCGTACATCCACATTTCTTGCAATTCATCGATCGTAGCCATCGTGCCATTTGACATGATAACATGCAATTGAAAGAGTTTCGTTAAATAACTCAATTGGCTAATCCGTCTTACAATCATTTTGCCATTCGATTATATGTAACCTATGCAATTGATACGGCATCGTTGGATAAACCAAGATGCAAATATGTCACAATACCTCGCTTGTGATTTGACCCAGAGTGATATTCCGACGACACAATTATCTCTAATTAGGAGCACAAGTTGTTTGTTGACGGTTGACCAATCTGCAGTATTGAACCTTGATTTGACATAATACGGTAGTTTGCCATTTGAACGTAGATGAAGAGATCGTAATCTGCATTTGACCCTCGTTCTTGTGATTACAAAGTGAGGCCAATAAATGACCTGTCTCGGCCTCAAAATTATATCCGTTTAGTAGTTTTTTTAACGGTCGGCCAGGTCTTCGTTTTCCGACGGGTCTGTAGTCAAGAAAGTTTTTGTTTCTAACGTTTCCCATGAATTGTCAAGTTTATTTACACCTTGCTAATTTCTGCTGTGCATGTCATAAATTTCACATAACTGTCTTCAGTCCTCTTATATCTCTTTGTATCCAGATGTAAGAGTTATAAGAAAGAGATTGGATTGCTAAAATTGTATATAATTTCAGTTGAGATTGTTTTTTTGAACTAAATTAGCTGTTATAGCAGGATTTATTCAGTGATATTCTTCATTTACCAGATCAACAAATATTGTTTCATTTACACCTCACAATTTTTCAAAATTAGCAGACATTCACAAATTTTGAGATAATTTTTGTATGATATTTACGTCCCTGTTCGTACTATCTCAGCGTGTTCTGGAAGAACTGAGAAAAACGACATCGGCATGTGGAACGAGATCTGAAGTCGGGACCTCCTGAATAAGAAGCAGTGTTAAGTCTGCTAACCAACACACCGGTTGTTACTCTGCATGGTTCGTCGAACTGTTGATCAGCTATGTCAACAGCAGATTCTTATTTGCAACACATGAATAAATGCGTCTTGTGCTCAAAGACAGGCCCTGTCAGATGGCAAAGAATACATTTGCATAACTTTTCGCTTTCACAGTCTTAATCCTTCAAAGCTCACTGGTATAAGTTTCATATGCTTCGGTAACTGTGGTTTGCCCACAGAGTGTATTTATGGGCCTCGTATGATGGACATAATAAACAGCGATTATTTCCTAAAACAGCTCAACCAATAAAATATCTTTGTAACGGAGACGCATTGTTTTCTTTTAGGTAAATACTGAATTGTTAAATATTATTTAGACGAACTTCGGGCTTTAAAGGGCTAATTATGGTATATTTTCGCTAATTGTTATTCATATAATTTTTATTCTTCCACCTCGTGCAGTAAGGCGACGTAAAAGTAGTAAGGTGACGATTTTCACTTTCAGTCTTGTACAGTAATATTGTAAGCTTAGACGACAGCCATTTGAGTGATGAAATAAATATGGAAATTAAGGGGAAGATGGTAGTATCACTGTTTAACACAGGAGAGCATGTGACTTCTGGGACCAGTAGGAACAGAGGGTGAAGCGGTCTGAGCGGTATTCTGCGCTATATAACCTATACAATTGAGAGACTCTGCCTAGTAGAAAGTGTTCATTCCGGCGGGGACATTACAAGAAATAAGACCACAACACCGAGAAACTGTCCTGGGTTCAAGCCCTGATGAGACTGCTTATGTAGCTCGGAAACTAAGGACGATGGAAGAACAGGGTCTAGGCCAGGAGCCCGTCAACTGATCTGGGTTTGAGTCTCGGCGAAGGTGTTGTTTTTATGGATGATAATTTTTCCTCTTGTATTCAACGATACGTATCGATCTGCAACTTTTATTTGGAGCATTTTGCTATGTATTGTGTAGATCTTAACGTAATACAAATATTGTCATATCGGTGCAGTTTATTGCCTTTGCAATAATAGATTTGTGTGTGTAGTAAGTGAACGTCAAGGCCAATGAGGAATGCAGTCGTACTTCAGAAGTTTGCTCTTGTATTAATTCTGCGTCTTTCAGACACGAATGTCTGTAAAGTTTGTCTCATTCTTGCCTGGCAAGAGGGTCGGTTGGGTTAGTCTGAGGTCACATGCGTATAATTCCCAGTTTTCACGTGATCGTATTATATCTGTACATTCTAGGTACAAGTAGAGCCAAGTACAGATGCAATCTCTATTTTATATCTTATCGGATAGGAGGGAATCAAATTTCCAGGTCAGTATACCTTGTGCTTTTTTCTGGACAGAAAATTAAAGGCAGCGATGGTGAAGCACTACGTCATGATGGTGTATGTGGGCATGAAGGTAAAACTGAAGCATTATTAGATTTGGCGTCAGCTGGAAATGAGGTTAGGTTAGAAAAATTAACTTCATGCTCCGGACCGAACCTCGTGGTCGAGCGGTTGGTTCATACTCCTACTTCGTATTCGGGAGGTCCCAAAGACCGGATATCCTGACAGGGGCTTTTCGTGGCATATTCCGGGGTAATACATTAAATTAGGTCACGACCGGTTCCTTCCTCATCCTTCCCAATTCATTATTCGCAATTATTATCTGATTCGACGCTGTTTGAGCTACTAAAAAGCGTCGTTAAATGAACTATAAGTACAGTCGAACTTGGTTATGGCTCGACGCCTTGGCTACAGCATCTAATATCGATTGGAACTAATTAAATCTCCGTAAGACGTGCTTTTCTGCCTCGCTTACAAAGACATACAGGGCATAACCAATTCGTTTATGACGACATCTGACACCCTGCTCATTGCGAATCAGCTTGAATTTTAGCTACGTTATGGTTATATTATTTGTGACTAATTTCTAATTTAATTGCATTTATTGAATTCTTGCGTATCGAGGACATTTTAAAGTATTCGCCATCATGCGATATCCGGTACAGGTTGTCTTTCGTAAGTTCACAAGGATTTCCTATTTTGTTATAGGATACGTCTCTTAATTAATGTCGGAAATCGATAAAATCTTCTCGGGTAACAAACCCCTGGTGATGGAGATGGTCTCCGAAACGTTGGGCTTTTGTCCACAGCTGACACTGCTTGTTGCCCGAGAAGATTTTATCAAGTTCAATGAAGTTTTAGAGGTGTAAATATAGGACATGTTTGTCCATAAGTCTGGTCCTTTGTGCTGATCTGAAATGCTTCATTTTATTTTAAAGTAGCAGAGTGCTCGCATTGTTTCTGCGGGGCCATTCGACAAATGCATACATTCCTTGCTAATTTTTATTGGTCGAAAGCTTCCCAGTGGCCTGATAATTCGATACGTATGGTTGAATGCCACAGGAAAGATTATTGTCTGTAAACCCAACATCTTCACCGGTACTCGAACCCAGGACAGGTTCTCGGATTTGTGTCTTTTGTTCTTGCAGCCTGATCGTCGAAACAACCTTGGTCTTCCGCTGTTATTCTATCACGCTCAGTTTCCCAGCTACAGAAAACATCTTCACTGGGACTCGCTGGTAGAACCGTTTTTCGGGGTTGTAAATTTTTAGTTCTTACAAACAATTTACGTAAGACATATGATGTGGGCCTAGGCCTATCAGTAAAGCTAAGTGAAATTGTTTTGAGGGAGCAAGTGTTTGTGAATTCCAGAAGCAATGAGTTCAGAAATGTTTATTTAATTTATCTGTCGCTCTATAAGTCTGTGAGCACCATTTGGAATTTCTCAGCCACTGATCCGCAGAGATGCTAATATGCAGAATGATATTCCATATTTCCTAAAAAGCCTTGGAATATGGATTTTAACTCTTCTCCCAAAACCCAAATTTCCAGTGGTAGTGTTGGCTACTTTCAAAGACACAAATGTCCGGAAATTGAGGCATATATATACGCCTGTTAAAAGAAAACGCAATCGGCTCGCTTGCCAAAATACACAACCCTCGGGTCCATACTCTGCACATATCTGTTCTAGCGAAGCATCCTGGTTTTGTTAGTTAGGATTTATCAAATATTTACCACATCGGAAACTATTCCAAATAAAATTCGTAGGTATTTATGTCTTACACAAACTATTATATCTTCTATTTTTGGAGGCTGAGCTCCTTAGGGTGGGGAATACATAGGTTGAATTTATGTTGTGTGCCAGGATAAAATTTCTCTCGACAAAATTTAGGGTAGATCACCAATACAGCCTTGAAACTAAATGCGTTGATTAGTTTAGTAGAACTGACGGACAGACACGACTTTCACATTATGCGTTTATTGTATCCACTTTACGTAGATAACGCTACATTACCGAC